CTGCTGCTGCTGCTGCTGCTATTACGACTATAGCAACAGCGTCGCAGAATCCCCATCGCAGAGCAGTAGCAAGAAAATGATGCTGACGGTTTTGATGATGATGGTGCTGGCTATGATGTTGGTCACAACGATCACGATGATGGCGGTTGTGAACACGATACGAGGATTTGATTTACAGTTACTTTAACCATAGCTCTTATCGCCAAATCAGTGAAGGCAGCAGCAAGAGGAGTAGTGAGTAGTAATGTCAGAGACATCATGGCTGGAGCAGGTTCAGTGCTAACAGTAGCACTGTTGCCGATGACGATGCGGCTGCTAGCGGGAATTATTGAGAACGACGGTAGAGGAAATTTGATAGTAGTGACGGTCTTGGCCATTTCAGGAGGCGCGCGGAGGGCGAAGCCAGCGCCACCAGAAGCAGCACGAAAAGCAGCCGCACACAGGACCGCCTCAACGTCAGAGTGGAGTGTTTGGATTATGGCCATGTGCTTTCGGTTCTCTGAGTGGCATGAGGCTTTGTTTTTTGGTTGGAGTCGAATCTCCTGTGCAGTTAATTCGCCCAACTCTAAACCCCTTATATTCAACCCCAAGCGCTAATGCGCCTACTTCCCCAAATTCTAAACCTCTTTACCCTATGTGAAACTTTGGCGAGATGTCCTATGTCCTATGCCGAGGACTGTGAACCTCAGACCCTCACACAACTCTGCACAACTGCAAACATGAGCCCGGAGTGGTATTAGAAGAGGAGAGAAGCATGTGAAGAATGCCAGCAGCAGCAGAACATGATGGCAAAGAGAAATCAGCACGCTGAATCCTAGCACTCTCAGTCTCGCATCCCGGCCCCTTTGCTATCCTGCCCTGTGAGGATGTTGTTGAGCTCCGCATGCTTGAGAAGGCCCGCCTGATAGGGAAAGGACAGTCCCGGAACTGAGGCCCCGCAGAGACTGTTCAGGCTCCTAGAGTTTCGGATCTAGGGTGATGCGCCTCTGCACGCGACCTGCCCGGAGAAGAACGGGGGCTGGGGGGCTTGGGGGGGGGGGGGGGGTACCGCTAGAACAGGGCTATGGGAAGGAATTTGCATGTCACTAGTTTAGAGTCATTGCTTGGCATACCACGGCGTAGCAAGGGAGGAGTATGATGCCGGGCACTTATCTGCACTGCAACCCTCCTATGGAAGCAACAACCACACTGCCGCACCGACACGAGACTTCCGCACAAGCGAAAGACAGAGTCATGGCTAGAATCATCCCTTGTCGTTATGCAACACACGATCGTAAGCAATGATGGTGCATACGGATCAGTGCACCTGTGTTTAAGGCATCATGGGGTGGAGTATCTGATAATTAGGCGTTTGGATCTATTCCCAACAACCTAACCCCCCCCC